CATAAATTGCATTTAATATTTCTTTGCTTTATTATCATAAATAACCTGCAACTGTAATTTCAAACAGTGACGATTAATTCCTGTTAAATTCATTTAAACAGAATATCCATGCAGCAGGAAACTTAGTTAAATATATCATATACATGAATAAATTTTATTCACGCGACATAATACTGTTTGACCGTTCGTAAATTCGTAATTGGCGTATTTCATGATTCAGAAAACGTATTCATAATGATATTATTTACCTATGAATCCCACAATCAGGAATTATGCGGCTATTGTTAATATTAGCAATATTCATAGCGAATACGAGTACTCCTAAAGCAAATATATCGTACTGAACCATAAATTCACATTACGGCATCATAATATCACAATATTATTACGGAGCGCTGGCGAATAACGATTATATGGCACAGAGTTCGATATTTATTAGATTTTTTATATCTGTGGACGTAAAAATGCATATGTATATAAAAATCGCACGTTTGCGCTTACCGAATAATAAAAATATATTATTAGTTCTTTAATACAAGAAGCTTTTATTCACACTTGTTCATTGGTGGGTGAGAGATAGATAGAAAAGCTTTGTGAATATTAATATTATTCTCATATTGTAAATTGTTATACTAGTCTTCATAATTTGATAATATTGATAATTTTTGTTTATTTAATTACTTGTTTAGGTGTCGGTGAATAGGAGTGTAATCTATATTCTGATGATTAATTAAAATTAATAGAAAAATACTTTGGATTATCATGTTTTAATCAAACCTGTGTCATGTAACTACATACTTAATATACAAAGATAGAAATAGCTATAAAAATTGATTAGTGCTTCTAGTAATTTTTGCTTTAGAAGTCTCATCAGGATTTTTCTTAATTATATATCACAATTCTAAAAATATCAATTATCGTCTAATAATAGTAACCACCGAACCACAAAAATATGTTTATAAATATATAAGCATACAATTAACAGCAATTATTCATAATTACAGAACATTTAAATAATTGCTCCCAAAACGCCTGTAGCTATCATCAAATTTTCTGAGCATATAGTTTTAACTTAACGTGCAGTTCTCAATGACGCAGAAGACACAATCGTTTCACCGTGATATTCTTAAACACCAATTAAAACTTCGTAAAGATACTTTAATGATATTCCGTGATAATTATAACTTCCAAAGTGTAATACTCTCTTTCTTTATAGATATTCTCACATACATATGATCAATGTGCATTCGGGCTGCATGCTTTGCTTTGTTCGAACCAGGGCTGAAAATAGATCTAGTATTCTCAATTAAAAACTTAGCATCCATTTTCTTTAATAATTTTGGGCAATGTTTTTAATTTAACGTTTTAGTTACAATAGTTATCTGAGGGTAATTCATTAAACAAGTTGTGCAAACATAAATTATACCTTATAGTTTGAAAATAATGAGCGTTAAAGTGCAACCTAAAGTTGGGTGAAACTTTTGGTCGTTATAGTCAATTTTTATTAGCTTTGTTTATTTATATTTTGGTACTCCAACCCCGCATAACATTTCTAAGGTCACAAACATAAATTTAAAATTTTCATAATTGATCGACTTTAAAATGCTCCTTTTTGAAAAAAAAAGTACTATAGTGTGTTGACAAGTTCTAACGCAACTATAATATAAAACAAGTTGCTTTCAAACAAGTTGCAAGTCCAATGATTATAGCTAAATATTTAGTTTTATAGTGAGAATTCGATAATGATTAGGACTAGGAATGGGGTATTAAAGATAAGATTTTTTTTTTATTTTTTATCCATTCTCCTTGACAGCCCTAGTTCCAGCAGACCACGACAATATACACCCGCGAACATGTATACGAACTCTAGTAAGTAGTTTGCGTCGAGTTATCAAGGTAGAAGTTTCGAGAACATTTTACCAAATTGCTTTGGTCTATTATCCGCAGAGGAACACGGGTCGGGTGTATTTTCGGCGGTCCGGGCTCCCCATCGCCCTGGAGGGTGAGTCTAGTTCTATAAGTCGCTGTCAGACGTAAAACCATCCCACTTTGCTCAGAGACGTTTACATGTTAACGTTAATGGCTTTGTTTGCATCGCGGTCAGCAAATAGGTCAGTTTTGGCCAGAACCAAGTTCTACAACAGAAATTAAGCAGGATTGCGTTTGCGTTTGTTGCAAGATTGTTCACGGACTATGATTTTCTAATTCCGAATAACTTTCATGGTGTAATTTTAATCTTATTTTCTGCATCGGGGGGCATTAATAGAAAATCTTAGTTGAAGGCGTTTGAAAATTAAAGGATTAGTTTTAACAATGAATAGGGCGTTTTTCAAATAATTTATGCTATTAAAATTAATCAATTTGCGAGTTCATGGACGAGATCCACTGTAGCGACTACCTATGTATACGAATATCGTTCATGGACGACGTGTTGTGTTTGTTTTTGACTACAGATTTATTACTATGAGATAAACTATCGAGAATTCTAGTCTTTTATTTCAATTTTTACTTATGAGAAGCGTAATTTTTAATTGTTTAATACATATCAAGAAGTCTTAATATCAAGCTATAGCAGCGACACTTTGAAAGGGTTAATTCAAGGGAAACGGATTTGTATCAAAAACTGCGCCAACGAGACGATTTTCTTTAAAACCAAATAAATTTGATAAACCGTTTAATATAAAGAAATGATCCAAGTTAATATGTTTGGGTTGAATAATTTTCTAATCTTTTTAGTAGCGTAAAATATCAAGTAAGACATGACCCAGTGATGTATTCTTAACCATCTACAATATTCATTGCTTTTATCATATTGAATATGATACGATTCAGTGCGATATATGCATTGAATATTGAATGCCTTTGATCTTAGTTTTTTCTAGTTCTTCATTATATCTTAAATAATTCTCTTCTTTAAAATTCAAGCAACTGCCAGAATTGCCTCCCTTCAATCCGGCCGACGGAGGAGCTTTTAAAAGCCGCCCGCGTTATGCATGTTTCGGTTTTTGCTGCTCGGAATTATTTATGAATTTGTCATCGCGCCCCCGAAGCACCTATATAAGAACGGAAAGAGTACGTTCCGAAGTAGGTAGCCCTGTCGCCCTCGGATATTAATAAAAAATTCAAAATATAGAGGGAAGGGAAAGCGAAATTGACGGACCGTCGAGCTACGTTTTATCATCGATCGTTTTTTGCCTCGAAGATACGAAGCGTCTGTAAGAGCTAGTTCATTATTTTATAATTCATTTCGGGGAAAGTTTAGATGACGCGCAGCTTTCCCAAAGACGACGTCGTGTAATAGAAAATAAATATTCAGAATATTTTGTGGTATCGTAGGACACTGAAGGTAGATTTTTATGAATTTTTTGTACGATGTTGATCATAAATAGACTATAACTTGTTTGTATCAAATCGCAAAAACACGACAACTCGTACGATTACTCAACATAAGGGACCAGTAAGATAACGTAGCTATTTTATTTGAGAATTGGCATCTAAATGTATGAAGTATAGTGAATATATTCAACACATTTTGTATATATAATAACGGTGACATGTTTGTCCCAAATAAATCAAATATTGATACTTCAACTTTAGTTCTGGTGTTATATGAAAATATTTCTTAAACAGTCATTAGTAAATTCATGATACACCTCATACGAATCAACTAATGCATGAAATTATATCGCAATTTAGATAATGTTTTTCATTAAATACATCTCGTTAGGCCTTCTGAAAATATAATGAAAGCTCTGTTGTATAACTAACTGAAGCAGGCTTTAATTTAATACGTTCGTCCGTCAGTTCTGTTTTTCTGCCGATGCCCACGCTTTTTGCCGCCGCTTGGTTTTATTTGAACGCATTAATTATGTATCTGCACGATATCATTAAAGTAATTAGATAATAGTAATGGTTGTATGCACGCATCAAATAATTACACTAGGAACATTAATTGTCCATATGAATTACACGAGGCAAGTTAAAAACAATTAATAAGATTATGGTTGATAATCTAGGAATTATTGATGTGGTTGTAAAAGGTGATTTAGTTAATTATGAATTTATAATAATATTATACGGTGTAAGATAGTTCATAGTTTTCAAAATAGTTGTGAATCATATTATCCTTTATACTCGATCTTTTCCCGGCTAAAACAATTACCATATCAATCTTTTGGTGTGTTTAACTGCAGCAATTCGTAATAATTTACTAGTGCTCCCCTACCCCATCTATAAATAAAAAGCATACATTTAGTAGCGTTAACGTCAGTACAGTGGATACATTTTCCTTTTAGCAAGATATAGTGCAGAAATATATCCAACTTAATACGGTACATACGTTCTTGGAAAAGTTCGTGTAACTCGGATAGCGAAGAAAAACCGTTCTGCCTTGGCTTATATTATAAATAAATTCGAACCTATTTATATTATATAAAATAAATAATGATATATATATATATATATATATATATATATATATTTATATAATTCACCTGGCAATCAGAACAGGTGATTTTATAGAACATTGGGATATAACTTTGATACAATTTAATTCACGGATCAAATATGGCGTGGTAGAAGAACTCCACTAAGATGCTTTTACTTTTCTATAAGAAATCTATGGGCTGTTTAATTTTCATAAGTTTTACTAAAATTCATAAAAGTTCTTTCGCATGAGTGAATAATTTTAGTAAGATCCTGGTAAAAGACACAGATCGCTAAAGTTCATTATAACTGATGAAAAATTTAGAACCATATTTTATATACAATCGAGAATGAAATCAGTTCGATTGTCTTGTTTTGGCAAATAGTCAACAATCTAGTCCACTCAATACTAATCATCAGCACTCGCCGTCCCGTCCTGGCGCTTCCTCATCCAGAATTTTATCCCGTATTATGCCGTCCTATCACAAAACGCTTTTCAATGGCTTCTGTCGCCATCGACTTCGAATTTAATCGATTTGTCTAATAATTTGTCTGTTTTCTTCCACGTAATGCAGACCGCAAGCTGTTTGTTGGTATGCTCAGCAAGCAACAGACCGAAGAGGATGTTCGCCAGTTATTCGCGCCGTTCGGAACTATAGAGGAGTGCACGATACTGCGAGGTCCTGACGGAACCAGCAAAGGTAAGAGTAGAACCATAATATATCATATTTTTAGTAGTATAAACTAGTTTTCATGACACGAGTGTGCCAGTTTTACAAACAAACTAGTTGTCTTTTGTATAGCGAAGGAAAAGCGTTTATACGTTCCCAGACTAGGTCTTTTGACTGCGTATGTTGGGGTCAATACTGATTGGGTATAATACCGACTAAAACCTCCGCTTATCCCTTGCTTCTTCTCTTCGCGGAAAGCGCCGTTTTGGATAACTTTATGGGGGGAGGATATAGAATGCTATGATTCTCTCTTTTAATTTTACTTTCCTCCTAATTAGTTCCATTTGCTCTTCTTCTTGCAAATAAACTAGGTGTAAGTGGCATTCTACCGTTGTCAATTTGGGTGAGTAGATATATAATGTTTCTGTTTTTTTATGTTAAGGAGTCACAAAATTGTCCAAAAGCTATGTATTTGGTGCATCTTAAACTAAAGTTAAATTTAATTTATGTGCAGTTTAGAGGTTTTAGTTTAGTTTTGTATAAAACTCTAGATCTAGATAAAACACCATACACAAAGCTTTTCGACAAGTAGCATACTATAAGAAAATTGCTTTACAAGTAATAGATCATTATCTGTCTCTAAATAATAAGTTTGTCCAGTATTTCCCAAGTTGTTGAAACGATTTACAGACGATTTTCAATATAAATCCACTTGCAACAAGGCGCCGAAGTGTTTCGCTTCATACATATTTTTATCGACAGCGAATGTAATTTCGAACTTGTCAGAAACATACTTCACAAAGTATGCCTTCGAGCTGTAACTTTCCAATTTCGTGTAACGAATCATCAAAAAGTATCACGGCATTCATCTGAAATATTCTCATTTCCTCCTTGCGCATGTCAGTTAAGGATTTTTTTATCACCCAGAAATTGCTCTATGTTTTTAGTTGAAAAGTCATTGTCACAAATGATAAAGAAATCTTGGAAAAGTTCTTGTATTGCACTCGCTTTACTAATGTTCTGGGAAATGTAAATCGGGTAACGAATCGAACCAGAATTATAATTTTATTGTTTTTTTTTTTAATAAGTAATTTCTAAGGGTTGAATGAAGAGTTTTTTTACACCTGTTCTAAAATGTGCAAGTAAAATTGTAGAAAAAATGACCTTAAGTATAAATAATCTTCTGACCATTGCAAGAAATTTTGAAAAAGGTTTTAAACAATGCTTCTAGAATTCACAGAAATTCTATGATAGTCAATCCTTCTTGATTTTATTTTTTTTTTATTTCTTTAAAAAGGATTGAAATATTCCTTTACATTGCAGTGCACAAAGCTTATGTTCTATTCCAACCCATAACCGAATTCCATATTTTCGTCATCATTATTCAAATTTCTCTCGAATCTGATTTTTACATTTTATGTCATATCCATTCCGAATTTTTCAATTAACAATAGTGCCGACAAACATAAAAATGTCAACTGTGTAAGGTATACCTGATAACGACTTCTGATCCATCAGCATATAAATATATTGCGTTATTCAATCATGCTATGGATAGATAGAGGTGTAGTGTGCATGAAAACGAACGCACATGCTTCGCGAGCGTTCTGGACGGGCACACTTAACTAATTGAAAATTCGCCCCTGACTCTTTGCAGATGGTATCATAGAAATAATTAGTGGGAGCTCTGAGTCAAAAATGCTGAAGTTTTTAATTTTTAATTTTTTTTTTTATTTCCATCTAAACTACAACTGCCTGAGAAGGCATTCAGTAATTGTTGTGATTAGTTATTAAATAAGTTTTTAAAATACTACCCATTGGTAGTATTTCAAGTTAGTATATTGAATATAAATATGTGACAATAATAACAAGCACTATACTAAATATATAACTATACTAAGTCTAATGGATCTAATCTTCTTAGTCTCTTGACAGTGTTCGCAGAAAGTAGGTCCTTTGCTAGTTCATTTGGATGGTTCTCCAATCTTGACTTATAATTTTGAAAAATAAAGGCAAATATATAAATACAAATACGAATTCAAATACAAATACAAAAACAAATATAAATTTCAATATTAATATTGATTGCAATAGCATTATAAGTTTCACGCAATAGCATTATAAAATTACGTCGTAGAAATAGTAGAAATCACGAAACTAATATGCGTTGATTAATTAAACAGCTACCAGTATAATTAAAATGCAAAAACAAATAAAAATTTTGATATTAGTATTGATCGAAATAGCAATAAATTTTACGTTCAAAGTTTTAAATACTAAATCAATTTATGATTAAAAATTAATTTTAATTTAAAAAAAAAAACAATTAAGTTTACCACTATGTAACCTATTTTTACCTTTCTAGCATAATAATTTCATAATAATTACTAAATATTTTTATTAGAGGTGTTGATTGTATATAGTAAATCTATTTAATTAATTGTTGTTAAATATTATTAAATAATTAAATATTTTTTCATGATAATAAACTCAAAATGGCGTTTTGTTTATAATTTTTCTTAAAAATGAATAATTTTCAGTTCAGCATAGTGATTTCATAATAATTACTAAATATTTTTATTATGTGCGTTAATTATATATAGTAGATCTATTTAATTAATTGTTGTTCAATATTATTAAATAATTAAGTATTTTTTCATGATAATAAACTCAAAATTCCGTTTTGTTTATAACTTTTAATAATAAAGATGAATAATTTTCATTCTGAATACATGTGCAGTATCTTGAAATCCTGTAGATACAATGCAGCTTAGTTTAATTATATATATTAAATTCATATATGTATATTTTCTATGAATTTTCTATATTACTAATTATTATTCTTATATTATTTTTGTTTTTAAATTCTTACGGTGAAAAATATAGTTTTCAATTAAACTTTGAACATAAGATTTTAAAAAACACATAGATATAAATCATTTTATAAACAAATAATGTTTAGTTGTGCAGATATATCTAATTTTAGTTTTAAAATTTAATAATTTACTAACATTTGAAAAATATTGCTTTTGATTACAATGATGGGCATAAGTGTCGTTTTTTATAAATTAATCATTTTCTATGGTCACACTAAATATTTAAGAAAAAATAAAAAAAGGATTAATAAAAATGAAATTTAAAATTTAAAATATAACATTAAATTCCAAAATATTACAATAAAAAATTATAATTTTCTATTATGTAACGTGATAAAAAATGACATACTGAATGTCATCTATGTTCGTCAAGCGGATGTCGCCTACAGGTGAAGTTTGTAGTGAAAGAGTAAATTATCTGAAATTGTGTTTAGCTGAGTAATTGTGTGCTAGAATTTTTTGCTAAAAAAAAATTAAAAGTTTTATTTAAGAATCATCCAACTTGTGAACATTTCACTGGACTTGTTATTTAGAGCATGCCAAGTGTATCCAGCATAAAAATAATGCAAGGGTCACAAAACTCTAAAAGCTGTAGCAAATGACCTATAATTTCTTATAAAAACATATTTTTCTAAATATTAATTTGTTTCCGATGAGTAAAATTTCCTCCAGCTGTCTGACTATTAGCTCCCTTCGATGTTCCCGTATGGTTTTGACTGATAAGGAGAGTGACGCCAGGTCCCGCGTTTTGTAAAATCAATATCGCTCTCTCTTGCATTATTGATTTCTTCACGGGCAATCGCTTTATCATATCGGCATCGGCCATATGGGACCGTAATTGTTACATTCGAGTATTACGACGACGACAAGGGAGGCGACACCTTGGCGCTTGCCGTTCGCTTATCACCTGATATTAGTTATTTCAATACTGACGGATTTAGATTAGATTAACAACCACGAGTAAGTTGGAATTATGTACGTGAGTGTAATTCGGTTTTGGTACATTTTTAGTTGTACAAATATTTACATATACTGTTAAGGTTGTTTGACCGAAACATGCTTATAGTTTCGCATTTCTTATCAAAATATTTTTATTAAAATATTTATTTAAAAAAAATTTAAAAATATTGTCAATATTGTTATTTGGGCTCGCCCGTAGGTAAGCGGATAAGAGCGACGGGAGTTGTTTCAGAGGTCCCGGGTTCGATACCCACTTCGAGCAGCCTGTTGTCAGGCAGCAGTGACAACAACTTTCACTTGAAAATATAGATAGCAATATGTTTCCAAGTGAAAATAGCCCTTACTCGGCATTGCTGCACCAATAAAAAGTCAGTTCTATTAGATTAATTCTAATAACAAAAATCATCAAATATGGATGGATTAACCATTGGGTTACCATCTAAAAATACGAAGGAAGGAGAAGTTTCAGCCCAACAGCTCATAAGACGTAAGGTTCTGATTGCTGTTAAAAAAAATAAAAAAAAATAAAAAAATATTGTTATTTGTTACTGCATTTTTTGATAATTTTTACGTAATTGCACACAGATAATTGAAAGTTTATTGGCCTCTAAGTTAACGTCTGATCGTACAGCAAATACATAGCTTTTTAACAGTTTGTTACTACCAACTCATATGAAGATAGATCTCTAACATAGCTTTACCATAGCATTTTTATAATCATTTATGATGCGACTTAAGTTTTTTATTAAATTTGGCTTGCATTTGAAAATTCGTTAAGGGCCACAAAATAATTTTTGTTACATATTAATATTTAATCACTATCTGTATTTTTATATGCATTTCTTCAAATTTTCAAACCTTCATCCGCAATGATAAAGATAAAATTAAATTATTTTGAACATCTTTCCATTATCTTAATGTTTCTCTTCTTGCATCTAACCCGCAATCAGTTCAATCAATTTACAAATAATAATATTGCTAATAAATATATAAATAATTTAAATCTAATATCACAATAATATTAATTATTAGATAAAGTATTAAATTAAAATTGTACCTATACGATTAATTTATTATTTTTCATTGTAATATCTATTTTAAACCAACTTTTACTTTTTGTGTACAAACTTAACTCCATCTTTATCATTTTTTTATTTGGTTTATACAAATGTTATATTTACAGTTTTTACTCAT